TGTGTGTGTGTCCTCAGGGCAAGAACTCGTGAGTTGGAAGAACTGAGAGACCTATGGCGTGGGTGTTATCCTTAGCCACCTGCTGACAAGGCTGACAAGATAGGACTCTTGTTCATTGTATTGAATACAAAGGCCCAACACAAAATGGGTCATGCACAAGATTTTAGTCAGACCAAGCTATAACATTATATATTTACTACGACAGTACATTCAACCAAAAGCTAATATAACAAAGGCATCAGAGATTATTTATAATCTGTCACAGAAACTGGAATCCATCTCCCCAGATCAGTCAATAAATGCTTCTGGTATTGACTTATATGCTGCCCCTGTCTTCATGTTGTTGCTGGACATATCTTTTTTTAAATGTGTGTAGGTCACCTAAATCATCAGAAAAATTGCCCCTCCTGAGAATTTTTTCAGGAGCCGCCACTGGAGGCAACAGCTGTGCTGGAAGGAGAACAATATGGGTGTCCGTTCTGATAGTATGGAGCTGGAGGATGACTGTCAATGTTCGGAATGGTCGGTAGTGGAAAGACATAGGAAGAAGAGAGATCGTGATAAAGAAAGCAGTGGAGCATCTGGTAAAGAAACTATAAAGAGGGCCAAGGTAGGAAGCATGAGTAATGATGTGTTGGAGTGGAATGTGGTGATAGTGTTTGATGAGACCACAGAGCCTCACTTACACCCTATCCGACTAACTATTGCCATAGAGAAAGAGGTAGGTGAAGTCAAATTAGTTTGGTTAATTGGAAATGGTAGATTGTTAATATGTTGTGTTAGCCAGGCTCAGCAAGAGAAGATTCTGAAAATGGAAAAGCTTAATGGGAAGAAGTTTAAAAGCCATGCCCCTGGTGCTTATGCTAGATAGAGGGGAGTCATCACGGGGGTCCAAGTATCTATGTCCAAAGATGATATTAAAGAAAATGTGAAGGGAGGAAGAGTGATTGAGGCCAAAAGGTTGATCAGTAGGAAAGAAGGTCAAAGAAGTGAAAGCCTATCAGTGCTGCTGTGGATTGAGAAGGTTATGCCTGGGAAAGTACAGATAGGATTCCTTAGTTTCAATGTCAGAGAATTTGTCCCATCCCCATTGCGGTGTTTTAAATGCCAAAGAATGGGACATGTAGCTGTTCAATGTAAAGGAAGGAAAAGATGTGCCAAGTGTGGAGGGGAACATGGTTACGGTGAATGTGGGAGCAATGTGAAGGTTAAGTGTTGTAATTGTGTGGGGGATCATAGTGCAGCATTTGGTGGATGCCAGGTGCAGAGAGAGGCTAGAGAGTCTCAGAGATATAGAATTAGTCATGATGTATCGTATGCAGAGGCTGTAAGACAGATTGGTGGAGCTACAGTGTGGAATGATGGAGCTTCCATGGCTGCTCCTGTACTAAGTGGACCTAATGTCAGGGCTGGGTCATTCCTAGTACGGGGTGCCTTTTCTGTCCCCAGGAAATATCAGTTCTTATTTAGTGTAAAATGTGGATTCCAAAAGGCTTTAAATATAATGTCAGGTGTCCTTTACCTTAAAAACACCAAATATGGATCCTGAAAGGGAATTTTATGCATTTTAAACACTTTTTGTCAGTGGATGTAGGCGTTTTTGCCATGTCCCCAAGTGTTATTTATCAACTTCCACAAGAAATATAAGCCTTAAAATAATAACATCTTTAACATCTTTCTTCATTATTTTATAGTTCTAGTTAAAGTATCTTTCATCAATACATTTTTGTAAATGATTACTGTATTTTTTATTATTTTATTTAAGATTTTCTGTGTGTCCCTGATACCACTTTCCACCCTGTTAGTTTTTTGTAATTCTCCATTTAAGAAAACAACCCCTTCCTACAATGACACCATATTCAGGAAGTGTCATAATTTATTTGGTGGGAATACAATAGTGCGAAGCTAAATAAATATGAACACTCAGTTTTATCTATTTGTCCATGTTTCATGTTGTTAGTCTGTATGTCACACTCATACATTTCCACCCTGTTAGGCTAAATTATATTGGAAAAAATAATACAATAAAAATGTTAAAATATGTTTGATAGAGAAGTTAAAATCTTGTTAATAATAATATGGCATTTAGCAGACGCTTTTATCAAAGGGACTTACAGTCATGCGTGCATAATTTTTTTGTGTATGGGTGGTCCCGGGGATCGAACCCACTACCTTGGCGTAACAAGCGCCGTGCTCTACCAGCTGAGCTACAGAGGACCAAGTGTTTACCGTTTTGCTAGCTCAATCTTGCTCACTCACGGAGCTATGACTAATTTAGGCTAAAAATGTCCACACTGTTAGGTTCCACCTGTCAGGATTATGCACCTAACAAATTGGAAAATGTCCCCAAAAATTTTCTACGGGCCTGAGCTTGATCAATATGTTTTTCTGAAAGTCAAGCATCCTTTTTCTGATAGAATATATATATATATATATTTGTTTATATACAAACATTTTTCCAAAAGTAATGAGGTCCAAATCGCACCGCATTGTAGGAATGACCAGGCTGGTGTTTCTGCTGGTCCTGGCATGGTTTGGACGCCTGTTCAGAAATCTTGCACTCATGAATGTACGGTGTCAAAGGACACTTTGATAATGAATAAAGTTGACTTCATAGCTTTTATTAGGAAGGTTATCAATACGACTCGGGTTGTGGAAAGCAGAAATGCCAGGTTGAAGGTTATTGTGGAGATGGTAAAAGAGATATTGGGGGTAACAGATGTTAATTTGAAATGGTTGTTGACATGCTGAACATGTGGTGTTTCAGCATGATAAAATCAAGTTTAATGGGGTAGGGGGGTTGGGGAGAGTTTTTCGGGGGGAGGGGAAGGGTGTGGTAGAAATTAGTAGGGATTTATTTGGATTTTATTTTATTTCATGGTAGTACAGAATTGGCCAGATCTTGATTGATCGTACATTCCAGCACAGTAGATGTCGTCATGCACTTAAACGATAGTTTGTGGATCGCCATGATATCGAAGAAGAAGAAGAAGCAGAATAAGAAGAATGATGATGATGATGATGAATTAATTCCTTTTAGAGCACGTACTTCCGTTTTGTAATGCTTGTTTTTGCTAGATTCATGGGAATGACACTTACAACTTCCGGTTCTACAGTGCGGCGAACCATTTTTTTTCTTTCAGAAGCAAGGTTAGTCCTACAAAATTAGGGCCAATTATTGTGCACTGAAAACATTTATGTAGAGAAATAAGAGTAATTTTCTCGTCACAATAATGTTCTGAACATGTTAGTAAAAGATTTAGCGACATTGGTCATCCGACTGTGACGTTGCAACTAGCTACTTTAGCAAGCTAGCTACCTAGCTTTGTATCCGGCTCCCAGGTGATTTCTACCTGCATATTAGAAGATAAATGTTCGATATTGATGTGCATTCATTGGCTGTGTGTCTCAGTCATGTTGTGCTTGGTGTAAGGTAATTCTGAGAACATAAACATACATTTGCATGACAGTCACCCTAGCCAGATGCTATCTAGTTTAGCTATGTTTATATCAACACTTCAAATGACAGTCAACTTCCCTAAACATTGCAAAGTTTAGTGGCTACATTGTTTTAAGCAATTGATGTAAATCTCAGACTTATGCACCTTGATTTAGTTAGTTTGGTAGAACTGGAATTCATCACAAGGTTAACAGGCCATATTTATGTTTGTTTATGTTGTTAAAGTCATGCTCTCCCATATACCAGACTTGACCATAGGTCGTGGTCATGCAAATGTCATCATCAACAATTACTCTGGCTTAGGGACCCAAATGTCAAAGTATGGTGTGTGTGTGTCCACAGACTGTGCAGCATAATTAGCTTTAGTACAGAGTACAGCTGCATAAACCATAACAAGGCTCTCCCTCCCCTCCTCTTTCAGCACCTCAGTGTGTCATTCTTTGCTGTGGTCCAACCTCAACCAGGGCCCCTCTGTTATAATCACGCAGGACTCTGGAGAGCTGGGAGCATTAAGCAATCCGTCATGCACCTCCGGCAAATGGAGGTGAATATTCTCTTAAGCCATTTTATAGAAGACTATTGGGTTGTAGGTAAGCTGTTTTGGTAAAACTAAATGTGAATGTTAAATCTAATTGCAATATTTGTGTCCGCACCAGTGATGTATCAGTGTAGCTACTCTTGAGAGATAACTTTGAAATGGCATATTATTATTATTATTATCTTGAAGAGTTGCTATGACAGTCAGGCTTTTTGTACCAGCTTGGACATCAGCACCTGAACAGGAAGGAACTTTGTCTCAGTAGAGACTGGTTAGGCCTTGGTTCTATCCATGGCTGGCTGGTTGGAGCAAAAACCTACAGACACTATTAAGTGGGTTACCTTTCTCAGCTCTATAACATGAACATATAAGTGTGGATGATTGTTGAAGTGGATGATTTCTTAATTCAATTTTTGTACTTTTTAGATTTGTGTGTATTGTTAGATATTACTGCACTGTTGGAGCTAGGAACACAAGCATTTCGCTACACCCGCAATAACATCTGCTAAATATGTGTATGCGACCAATACAATTTGATTTGTTGAAGTGATGATCATGTCCTTTTTCTCCTCTGACAGGACTGTATGAAGAGGCCTCCGTGTTTCTTTAGAGGCTGAGAGGACCACCGCTGCTATTTAGAGTAAGTCCATTGGAATGAATTAGAGCGAGATTACAGGGTCATATAAATATGTGACAGACCACTGCCAGCAGCACAGTTGAAGTACCAAACTGAGCTCTCCTCATAGGTGATAGGTGTAGTGCCATCTTCTGGTGGAACTAGGGGCATTCTTTTAGAATTTCCCAATAAGCTAGAATGGCTTTGTCCATGTATTAGAAATGTGGCGGTTGTTGTTGAATGCTGTCCTGGTTCTGACTTTGCCATTGAAAGCCAGTTATTTGCAATGTGCATTACCAATTTTTGTTTGCTTGTGGTATACCTCTGCTGCTTTGAGTCAGCACCTTCCCTAAACCCAACCGCCCTTCTGTGTCCCCAACCAGGCCATGGAGAAGATGTCGCGGGTCACCACGGCCCTGGGCAGCAGCGCCATCAGCGGGCGCACCATGTTCTGCCACTTGGACGCGCCCGCCAATGCCATCAGTGTGTGCCGCGATGCCACGCAGGTGGTGGTGGCCGGCCGCAATATCTTCAAGATCTACGGCTTGGAGGAGGAGCAGTTTGTGGAGAAGCTCAACCTGCGTGTGGGCCGCAAGCCCTCGCTCAACTTCAGCTGCGCCGACGTCATGTGGCACCAGATGGAGGAGAACCTGCTGGCCACGGCAGCCACCAATGGGGCGGTGGTCACCTGGAACCTGGGCAAGCCGTCGCGCAACAAGCAGGACCAGCTGTTCACCGAGCACAAGCGCACAGTCAACAAGGTGTGCTTCCACCCCACCGAAGTCTACATGCTGCTTAGTGGCTCCCAGGACGGCTACATGAAGTGCTTCGACCTGCGCAAGAAAGAGTCTGTCAGCACTTTCTCAGGTATGTGTGTGGGTAGTTGTTGCACTCTTTGAGGTTGAACACAGGAGTAACACCTTAAAAATACCTACCTGCTGATGTCCAGGAATTCCTCTGGGCTACAAAACAAACAGCACCTTATTAGTTACCACTGTCTGAAATGACATTTTTCAGACAGTGGCTTAAACAGCACATATGACATGGTAATGAACCTGGCCTGAGGACATTATTTGAAAATTTTCTATGTTATTTCTCTCAGGTCAGTCAGAGAGCGTAAGAGATGTTCAGTTCAGCATGAAGGATTACTTTACTTTCGCTGCTTCCTTTGAGAACGGTAACGTCCAGCTGTGGGACATACGGAGGCCAGACCGGTATGAGAGGATGTTCACAGCCCACACCGGACCTGTGTTTTGCTGTGACTGGCACCCCGATGACAGGTAGGGAGCGGCTTTAGAGAAACTTTAGTGAAAGGCATGTCGATACATGTTGAAAAAACATTGATATTTGCATTGGTTGACCATTCATCTAAAGTGAATTTGCTTTAGATACAGTCATTGTTCTTGCTTACAGTGTGGCTGTATTGTACATTGCTAATGTATTGGCCTCTGTCTGCAGGGGCTGGCTGGCCACTGGTGGCCGGGACAAGATGGTGAAGGTGTGGGACATGACCACCAACCGGGCCAAGGAGATCTACTGCGTCCAGACTATCGCCTCGGTGGCCCGGGGTCAAGTGGCGTCCTGAGAGGAAGTGGCACCTGGCCACCTGCTCCATGATGGTGGACCACAACATCTACGTGTGGGACGTCCGGAGGCCCTTCATCCCCTTTGCCACCTTCGAGGAGCACAAGGACGTGACCACGGGCATCGTGTGGCGCCACCAGCACGACCCCTACTTCCTGTTGTCAGGTTCCAAGGACAGCACGCTCTACCAGCACATGTTCAAGGACGCCAGCCGGCCCGTAGACCGGGCCAACCCTGAGGGGCTGTGCTTCGGCCTGTTTGGCGACCTGGCCTTTGCCGCCAAGGAGAGCCTCATCAGTGGCGACGCCAACAGGAAGCCGTACCCGGGTGGCGACCGCCGCTACCCCATCTTCTTCTTCAAGAAGCCCGACCTGACGGAGCAGTTTGCCCACGTGTCCAGCGCCCTCAGCGTGTTCGAGTCATCTCTGGAGAGCAGGCGCATGGACTGGTTTGTCAAGACGGCGCGCCTCTACCTCCTCAGCGGCAAACCCTTCGCCGAGCTGTGTGACCACAATGCCAAGGTGGCCAAGGAGCTCAACAGACCTCAGGTCAGTCAGTCTGCCCCTTGGAGATGAGCTGCATTCATTTACATATATATAATTCAACATTGTTGGGGAACTAAGTAGAGTTTTGATGATCAATAACAAACCTATTTCATATTTCCCCCACTTGAAGGTTTCCACTACATGGACGATGCTTCGGATCATGTTCTCAGACCCAGCGAACCTCTCAACGCCTGGTCCAAATCACATTGGCAAACTGGGCACCCTTCCTTTAATGAACAGGTACTTCCCACAGGCTTCACAAAAGCTGTATGATTGTGTGGACAAACTATAGACTAAAGTAATATATTTCTTCCTTTTTTGTCTGCCCTAGTTTCAGTATGAAGGAGATGGGGACGGAGAGCAGGCTGGACCGCAGTAAAGGAGAGAGCAGACAGGACAACATTCACCTAGAGCCTGGGAACTCGCTAATCAACAGCAACAACGACGGTGAGAGTAAACTCTAAAAACACTCAAGCTGCTCCCACTTCACTGAAGAAATGAATAAACATAAACACTGAGTGTACTAAACATTAGGAACACCTTCCTAATATTGAGTTGCACCCCCTTTTGCCCTCAGAACAGCCTCAATTTGTCTACAAGGTGTTGAAAGCGTTCCACAAGGATGTTGGTCCATGGTGACTCCAATGCTTCCCACAGTTTTGTCAAGTTGGCTGGATGTCCTTTGGGTGGTGGACCATTCTTGATACACACAGGAAACTGTTGAGCGTGAAAAACCCAGCAGCGTTGCAGTTCTTCACACACGCAAACTGGTGTGCCTGGCAGCTAATACCATACCCCGTTCAAAGGCACTTAAATATTTTGTCTTGCCCATTCACCCTCTGAATGGCACACGTACACAATCCATGTCTCAATTGTCTCAAGGCTTAAAAATCCTTTGTTAACCTGTCACCTCCCCTTCATCTACACTGATTGAAGTGGAATTAACAAGTGACATCAATAAGGGATCATAGCGTTTACCTGGATTCACCTGGTCAGTCTATCATGGAAAGAGCAGGTGTTCCTAATGTTTTGTACACTCAGTGTAGGTTCTTGTGAACTACATTTAGTAGTATGTGACTTACTATATAGACATTTGTCCCACTGTAGAGAATGAAGAGACAGAGGGAAGTGAGGGCCAGGCGGAGTACATGTTTGGTGACGCTGAGCTGGACGACGATGACCTCTACTCTATGGAGCACGACAACCAGGCCGGTGAGTGTCTGACCCCTAAATAGATCCTATACATTCAACAGTGACGACTTGAACGTAGCCAATAGCCACCACTAACCTTACATGTCGAATGCCATAAAAATGTAGGTTTCAGCCATGATTGAGGGCTGGTCTATGATCTACCCCTAGTACTTTCTGAGCATGTTCTTCTCTCTGGTGTTTTCAGCAGAGGAGCAGGAGTACACGCTCCCCCAGGAGGCTTTCCCACTGCGCCACGAGATCATGGACAACCCTTCGGCGCCGGAGCACCTGCAGCAGGACAAGGCCGACTCGCCGCATGCCAGCGGCAACGAGGCGGAGGTCACGTGCTTGACGCCCATCGAGTCCTTCTCCCTGATCTCAATCTCCCAGCCACTGTTCAGCCCCCACCTTCCCGCCCACTTCTTCTGCCCCGTGGTCAGGGAGATGCTGAGCCATTACGCCGAGCAGGGCGACGTGCAGATGGCTGTCTCGGTGCTCATCGTCCTGGGCGACCGCATCCGCAAGGAGATCGACGACCTCACTCAGGTCAGAGCCAGGGAGATAACAGTTGTCATAGTGTTTTATTACACTATAATAATGTTGAGAAATCTATGGTCGGTTCCTGAAGTAGAATCCAGATTCTATGATTCTGCGTTGCATGAAATTAATTGGGATGCTCTTGAGAATTCTATTTAAATGATATAACATGGCTGATTTGGTTTACAAATAACTGGTTGATAGAAAAAATAATGATGGAGATTAAGAGTCTTGGTAATCTGAATATCCTCCAAGCTGGCAAAAATGTTGTTCATTTCGGCATGTTCTAATAATAGCGGTGACCCTATTTCAGGAGCACTGGTACATGTCCTACATTGACTTGCTGCAGCGTTTCGAACTGTGGAACGTGTCCAACGAGGTCATCAAGCTGAGCACGTGCAGCGCCATCACCTGTCTGAACCAGACGTCCACCACTCTGCACGTCAACTGCAGCAACTGCAAACGGCCCATGAGCAACAGGGGCTGGATCTGTGACAGGTATAACTTAAAACCATAACATATAACTTTGACCCACCTAACACAGTAAAGGGAAAGGTTACTAACCTATGAGAAACAAAATAGAGCTCAAAGTCAAGAGAACATTTGGAAGTTAGACCAATATGTCTTACCACTCAACCTCTTTGCAAATTCCCCAGGTGCCACCAGTGTGCCAGCGTTTGTGCCGTGTGCCACCACGTGGTGAAGGGGCTTTTCGTGTGGTGCCAGGGCTGCAGTCACGGCGGGCACCTGGAGCACGTGATGAACTGGCTAAAGAGCAGTTCCCACTGCCCGGCCGGCTGCGGACACCTGTGTGAGTACACCTGACCTTACGCTCCACCCCTGGCCAGCTGGCTCTCTGTGCCACACATCACAGTGCCTGGCTCACCCTGGCCTGGATCTCACACTCCAGGCTGGCGTCTCCTGAGACTGGGGTCCACAGGGGTCTGGCCATGGTAGCAAGATGGCTGCTATTGGATGACAGGTGGGTAAGACTGGAGTCCAATCCACTGAACCAGTCCGAGAGGAGAACATGTACCTACCTTATGGAGCACTGTTAAAAGTTTGGGATGGGCCCCTGCCCTACTCAGCGCTCACCTTGACAATGACAAAAACTCAATCATTTGTGAATATATATATATATATATATATATATATATATATATATATATATATATATATATATATATATGCTGAGATGACCTTTATATTGTTTTTAAATTCGTCAGTGTATAGCTCAAACAGCTGGGCAGACCTCCATGTTCAGCACAGTGTTTTCTATGGCAATAAAACATTTAGACAGAAGCTCAGCTGTCTCTGTATTATAAACCATGTGAACTCGTATTACCCCAGTCAGTGACCTTTTGAATGGGACACATTGTCATAACAATGATTATGGAACAACCATTTTAAAAGGGATAAGTTACACTATATTAGACAGGTTAAATTGTGTTTACACCTTATTCATTACAATGTAAAATTAGTATTTAATAATCAAAGACTTGCTTAACCTGACCACCACTGTTTATGGCTGCTTGTCACTTGCCCCGTGTAGCTCAGTTGTTAGAGCATGGCGCTTGCAACGCCAGGGTTGTGGGTTCGTTTCCCAAGGGGGGCCAGTATGAAAAAAAAAAAAAAATGTATGCACTCACTAACTGTATGTCGCTCTGGATAAAAGCGTCTGCTAAATGACTTAAATCTAAAATGTTTTTTTTACCGTTGTTAGATTAAAAATAGCCTGGATAGTTCAAACCTGTTGTACATTTTATCATTGAACAGGTTCACTGACACGATACAAAACATTTATTTATTGAGCTTATGATTACACACACATGAAACACTACATTCACTGTGGTCATGCTTAAAGAAAGATGTGACCATAAATTACAATCAAATGGGAAGTTTGTGTGGTTCAGAGAGAAAAAGATCCCAGAAAAACATAGTTAAACATTACAGAAGAGACTAATAACATAGGCCAAGTGAAGGATTAACAATGGAGGTTACAGACATTGTTTCCCTCTATAGGGACTTTCTGTTCCAGACTTTACATTCAGCAGGATGTCACTTCCTAACATGAAACAAAACAAGTTACAGAATACATTTTAAGAAGATTTCTTGATTAATTTGAAAACCACATCTGATTTTAGGGGATTGCAGAAATACATTTTAAAAAATGATCAATTTACATTTATTCTCTTCCTGTCAATGATCAGATTAGTTAGAAACATGAGTGATCTTTAATTTGTTTGATCACAGCATGTGCATTCAGAAAGTATTCAGACCCCTTCCCTTTTTCCACATTTTGTTACGTTACAGCCTTATTCTAAAATGGATTAAATATATTTTTTGCTCTCATCAATCTACACACTGCCCCAAAATGACAAAGCGAAAACAGGTTTTTACAAATTTTTGCAGATTTACTAAAAATAAAAAACAAATACCTTATGTAAATAACTATTCAGACCCTTTGCTATAAGACTCGAAATTGAGCTCAGGTGCATCCTGTTTCCAGTGATCATCCATGAGATGTTTCTACAACTTGATTGGAGTCCACCTGTGGTAAATTCAATTGATTGGACATGATTTGGAAAAGCACACACCTGTCTATGTAAGGTCCCACAGTTGACAGTGCATGTCAGAGCAAAAACCAAGCCTTGAGGTCGAAGGAAGGGTCGGTAGAGCTCAGAAACAGGATTGTGTCGAGGTATAGATCTGGGGAAGGGTACCAAAACATTTCTGCAGCATTGAAGGTCCCCAAGAACACAGTGGCCTCCATCATTCTTAAATGGAAGAAGTTTGGAACCACCAAGACTCTTCCTAGAGCTGGCCGCCCGGCCAAACTGAGCAATTGGGGGAGAAGGGCCTTGGTCAGGGAGGTGACCAAGAACCGGATGGTCACGCTGACAGAGGTCCAGAGTTCCTCTGTGGAGATGGGAGAACCTTCCAGAAGGACAACCATCTCTGCAGCACTCTTACCAATCAGGCCTTTATGGTAGAGTGGCCAGACAGAAGCCACTCCTCAGTAAAAGGCACATGACAGCTCACTTGGAGTTTGCCAAAAGGCACCTAAAGAACTCTGAAGACCATGAGAAACAAGATTCTCTGGTCTGATGAAACCAAGATTGAACTCTTTGGCCTGAATGCCAAGCGTCACATCTGGAGGAAACCTGGAACCATCCCTACTGTTAAGCATGTTTTTCAGCGGCAAGGACTGGGAGACTAGTCAGGATCGAGGGAAGATGAACAGAGTAAAGTACAGAGAGATCCTTAATGAAAACCTGCTCCAGAGCGCTCAGGACCTCAGACTGGGGTGAAGGTTCACCTTCCATCAGGAAAACGACCCTAAGCACACAGCCAAGACAACGCAGGAGTGGCTTCGGGGCAAGCGATGCTCCCCATCCAACCTGACAGTGCTTGAGAGGATCTGCAGAGAAGAATGGAAGAAACTCCCCAAATACAGGTGTGCCAAGCTTGTAGCATCATACCCACGTTTGTTTTTTTATTATGTACATTTGCAAAAAATTCTAAAAATCATTTTTTGCTTTGTCATTATGGGGTATTGTGTGTAGATGTGAAAAAATAAATACAAATTCCATTATAGAATAAGGCTGTAATGTCTGAATAAGGGTCTGAATACTTTCCGAATGCACTGTATGCGTCTCATACATAAAGGACGACAGAGGATCTACTGCCAAAATGGTTTATCAGCTCTCCTGACTCTTTGCATATCCTAATGCAACTGAAGCAGTCCACCATCACTAGCACAGGCATGTGAGGGACAGCTGCCCTCGCCTGTTTGTTGTATCCCTGCAGTAACTGCCAATGGCCTTTTCCATGTTTGGCCATTCCCATACAGGAGGGCCTGGGAGCACTGGTCCTCAGCCCACTGTCTCCAGTCAGGCCGGCTGGCCTGTCCTCTGGCCCACTCCCAGTCCATTGAGTGTGTTCAGGGTGGATGCTCACCCTTCGTCAGCATTGTCAGGAAGCCCTGTGAAGACAGAGAGCCGTATTGAGACCCAGAACTTCTCACTCATGTTGATGGAGTCCTAGCTACCTATAGAGTGGGTAGCCATTCATGTTGATGGAATCTTAGCAGTTAGGTGCTAAAGCTAACATCTATACCCACCCAGACACTCACCAGTACTACCTCGGGCTGTTCCCAGCTGTCTGTGACCTTCTCTCGGACACTCAGTCACCTTAGGCTCTGGAGCACAGCCTGGAGGGTCTCCCCCGGCAGGGTCAAACAACAGTAGCTCTCATTCATAACTAAGGTAATCATCAGAGCACTAGATACAATTGAATATCAGTGACAGTTTGTCCTACCTAGCTCCTCTTCATACAATTCCAGCTTTGTCATTAACTCCGAGACACTGATGGACTTCAAGCCTTCTCCGCCTGAGGTAAAGAATGAGAAGAGAGAAATAAGTTAGTGCCTTCACAAAGTATTCATACCCCTTGACTTATTCCACATTTTGTTGTGTTACAGCATGAATTCAAAATGGATTAAATACATGTTTTTCACCCATCTACACACAATACCCCATAATGACAAAGTGAAAACATGTTTTAAAAATCTTAGCAACATTCAATGTCTTCTTTGTAAGCAACTCCAGTTGGCCTTGTGTTTTAGGTTATTGTCCTGCTGAAAGGTGAATTAATCTCCCATTGTCTGTTGGAAAGCAGACTGAACCAGGTTTTCCTCTAGGATTTTGCCTATGCTTAGCTCTATTCTGTTTCTTTTTATCAAAAAAAAATCTCCCTAGTCCCTGCCAATGACAAGTATATCCGTAACATAATGCAGCCACCATGCTTGAAAATATGAAGAGTGGTACTCAGTTATGTGTTGTTTTGGATTTGCCTCAAACATAACGCTTTGTATTCAGGACATAAAGTTAATTTCTTTGCCACATTTTTTGCTGTTTTACTTTAGTGCCTTATTGCAAACAGGATGCATGTTTTGGAAGATTTTTTTATTCTGGCTTACTTTTCACTCTGTCATTTAGGTTAGTATTGTGGAGTAACTACAATGTTGTTGATCCATCCTCAGGTTCTCCTTTCACAGCCTTTAAACTCTTAACTGTTTTAAAGTCACCATCGGCCTCATGGTGAAATCCCTGAGCGGTTTCCTTCCTCTCTGGCAACTGAGTTAGGAAGGACACCTGTATCTTTGTAGTGACTGTGTGTATTGATACACTATCCAAAGTGTAATTAACTCCCTAGAGTCGATTGACGCACCAGTGTGTCAATTTAAGTTACATAAATTAATCCCCATCAAAAACAGTCTGTTTAAGGTAGTGATGTTTTTTTTATGCATTGGATGCGTCTCAATCCACCACTGTCGCACCTACAAACTATTATGATCAAAGTAGACAGCCTTAAACCCTCAGCCCTTGAATTATGTTTTTCACATCCGAGTGTACCTTAAATGTGCCTTGACCAAGAGAGGGAGAGTGATGATCGGAGAGGCAACGTCCTTTGTGGAAATCTTGGAATTGAGCTTAAAAACAACCAACCTAAAGCTATTAATGTAACTAGCTAGCTACAGTTACCCATAGCTGGCTAGCTAGTTTTATAGTATGGTAATTTATTCCAATACATTTCAGAAATCCCCAAAATATGTTTATGAAGCTAGCTACGTTTTATTGGGTCCTCACTACGAGACTAAGCCAATTTGCCAATGCTAAAATCAATGTCATCTATTTTTGTTTTTAGCAAGCTAGCTTCAGAATTTTGTCTGACATTTATTTTATTTAACCTTTATTTAACTAGGCAAGTCAGTTAAGGACACATTCTTATTTACAATAACAGCCTACCCCGCCAAACCCAGACGACGCTGGGCCAATTGTGTGCCGCCCTATGGAACTCCCAATCACGGACGGATTTTGATACAGCCTGGAATCGAACCAGGGTCTATAGTGACGCCTCTAGCACTGAGATGCAGTGCCTTAGACCGCTGCGCCACTCAGGAGCCCCAATTTGACATGCCGAAAATGCAGCCATTTTGATTAAATTTGACACTTCGCGGCATTGAATTGTGGGTCACATCAACCACACAAGTGATCAAAGTTCTTCACTCGCTCCCTCAAGCTAAATCGAGAGCCGAGGGGGCAACTTCAGTGAATTGGAATTCCACTTAAGATGGCAATCAAATTGCATCCGATTTCGACTGGGATTCCCAAAGGAATTACTGCAGCCACTCTCACAAACACGATGGTGTACTCCGTTGTGCTCTACGGCCCGCACAAGTGTCAGGAGACTCATCTGAAGTCGGTACCGTCGATGTGCCAACTTCTGTTTGGTAGCGTCCGAACCGTTTGGGCTACAACTAATGGGACCCCACTGTGGAAAGGGGAGATTATCACGAACACAATGGTGTTCTCCGTTTTGCTCTAGGACCCCCACAAGTGTTATGGGACCAGTTAAATTAAGGTCTGGGGAGTTTCCTGGCCATGGACCCAAAATGTAGATGTTTTGTTCCCCGAGCCACTTAGTGATCACTTTTGCCTTATGGCAAGGTGCTCCATCATGCTGGAAAAGGCATTGGTTGTCACCAAACTGTTCTTGGATGGTTGGGAGAAGTTCCTCTCAGAGGATGTGTTGGTACCATTCTTTATTCATGGCTGTGTTCTAAGGCAGAATTGTGAGTCAGCCCACTCCATTGGCTGAGAAGCAACCCCACACATGAATGGTCTCAGGATGCTTTACTGTTGGCATGACACATGACTGATGGTAGCGCTCACCTTGTCTTCTCCGGACAAGCTTTTTTCCGGATGCCCCAAACAATCGTAAAGGGGATTCATCAGAGAAAATGACTTTACCCCAGTCCTCAGCAGTCCAATCCCTGTACCTTTTGCAGAATATCATTCTGTCCCTGATGTTTTTCCTGGAGAGAAGTGGCTTCCTCGCTGCCCTTCTTGACATCAGGCCATCCAAAAGTCTTTGCCTCACTGTGCGTGCAGATGCACTCACACCTGCCTGCTGCCATTCCTGAGCAAGCTCTGCACTGGTGGTGCCCCGATCCCGCAGCTGAATCAACTTTAGGAGACAGTCCTGGCGCTTGCTGGACTTTCTTGGGCGCCCTGAAGCCTTATTCACAACAATTGAACCTCTCTCCTTGAAGTTCTTGATGATCCGATAAATGGTTGGTTTAGGTGCAATCTTACTAGCAGCAATATCCTTGCCTGTAAAGCCCTTTTTGTGCAAAGCAATGATGACGGCACATGTTTCCTTGCAGGTAACCATGGTTAACAGAGGAAGAACAATGATTTCAAGCACCACTCTCCTTTTAAAGCTTCCAGTCTGTTATTCTAACTCAATCAGCATGACAGAGTGATCTCCAGCCTTGTCCTCGTCAACACTCACCTGTGTTAACGAGAGAATCACTGACATGATGGCAGCTGGTCTTTTTGTGGCAGGGCTGAAATGCAGTGGAAATTTTTTTTGGGGATTAAGTTCATTTTCATGGCAAAGAGGGACTTTGCAATGAATTGCAATTCATCTGATCACTCTTCATAACATTCTGGAGTATATGCAAATTGACATCATAAAAACTGAGGCAGCAGGCTTTGTGAAAATTAATATTTGTGTCATTCTCAAAACATTTGACCACGACTGTACACTTCAAATAGCTAAATGATCCATAGTATGACCATCTTAATACAATTCCATATGTCAGCTTAGCATTTTTTAGTTTTGTGGCCATGCAAATTACCTGTCATCCAAAAACGCAGCTCACATCCACCCACCTTTTCCACCAGTATCGCCTTTCAGTTTGCTGTCGCAGTGGTAAGGAATGCCGTTGCCATCAACGCTGAGGCGAGACAGGAGCTCGGAGCGGCAGGCACGAGCCTTTTCCAGCGTGGCATTCATGTCCTGGGTCAGCCTGTGGTTGTCCACCAGCTCCATGTGCACCCTCATCCAGGCCATCTTGTCCTCCATCAGACATCCCTCCACCAGAGGAGAGATTAAGTGGTTTAGAAATACGGTTTTGGTGAGTTGAGTGGTGTGTAAAGTGGAGGAGAGTTAGGGCTAGCTTTGCTTATTCATCGTGTAGACACCTTATGTGATCCAACAACACTGACACTTGCCTTGGGACCTGCGTAGTTGGGAGGACCACCGACAGGCGAGCGCATCCCACAGTTCCCTGGGCTACCGGGCTGGACCATTTCACTACTGCTGCCATGGCGATCCTTGCCTTTAGCGTGATGACCCTTGTTTGTGCGGCATGAGCAGCTCCTTTTAGCCTGATCCGAGTTCTGAAAAGGACAAAGGTGCATTGTGATTGTGATGGAGGACAAAAGGGCTTATTGGAAACACCATTATGGTATGTGAATGCGTCACAGTGTGAGGTCACCTCGTTACTCTCCAGCGAGCCCTCCCGGCAGAGTCCGATCATACAGGGGAGACCCTCGCTACTGCTGCTCCTCTTGGTGGGCATGTCTTATCAAAGAAGCTGGATTAGTAACATGGTGGAATGGTGTTTTTATGTAGAGGAAACGTGTAAAGTTTCTGCTGTTGTAGGACGATCTAGTGACGAATAAGTGAATAGGTGAACGGTTTAGTGTTTAACTATGTGGTCATACCTCTGCTGCTGATGCTCTGGCCATCCAGCTCGTTGATGGGCGAGGTGACATCCCGGAAACAGATGCCCTCACTTTGCTCCCCGACGTCACGGAATGCAATGTATCCCGGGGGCGTCACCGCTGGCTCTATAGGGATGAGTGAATAATAGCCATATCAAACAAGGTCCAACAGGACAGTATTTTCTCTCTGTTCCATGACAAAATGTGTAGAATTGCAGGAAATCTGCCAAGAAGCGGGCCTTTAAAATGATCCTTCCCAGATGTGGTTCGTCCGGCCATGCACTGTCAAAGTAAAACTCCTTATAAGCTATTTTTGTTGCATACAAGGAGTTTTGATTATGAGGGGGTCCCTGATGAATTTGCTATCACATAAGGGGTCCCCGGCCCCAAAACGTTTGAGAACCCCTGATCTAAAGTGTTTGCTGGGGCCTCCCACTGAATTTGGCTATGGCTTGGGGGCCGTCGTGGATGCTGGGGCATTTGGCTCGGCTGCGACTCAAACGAATCAGTCTGGGGGGGGGGGCACTGCCTTCAGAGTCCACAGAGGAGCTCAGGTCCTTAAAGTATCCTGGGGGGGCAAATGTGGGAGCAATGAGAACCTGAACTGTTCCACCACAATATTTTCAAAGGTATTTTGGTTTAAAAAAAGTATCAGATTGAAAGAGTAATCTTCTTAGTAAGTAAGGAGAGCGCATGTCAATGAGGCTGCCGATATTTGTGTGGCCATACATCATAGTCAGCGCACAGTCGGTCTCTCTTTTGGCGTTCCGCTCATCTACTTTGACACCCTGAGACGAGTTATCATATACAAACTAGGTTTAATACTCCTTTAATGGATTTGAATCAGGTACATATTTGAGTCTAACATATGAAAATGACAGTACTGTAAATACTAGCAAACAATAATGTACTGACATGGTCAAGGAGGTTTTGCACAATGATTTCATGTCCAGAAGCAGCAGCCTTCATCAGCGGAGTGAAGCCAGACCTTTGCTCTCTGCAGGTGAGAAACGTGTCATTACACACCTCATGATTGAGTAGTTGGATATAGATTGTTGTGGTTGTATTCATGAACTGAAGATACTCACTTTACATTGACATTGGCATTATTGTGCAGCAGGAACTGGCTGGTGGCCAGTGCTGGTGCAATGGAGCAGGGCTGTCCAGCCTCGAGAGTCCTTCAGCTCCAACTCAGCACCATGCTTTTGGGAGAAATGTTTTCATAATGTACAACACCACCACCACCCATTACACTAACGGTCAACCTAAACTGAGGATTATTTGAAGTAAAAAATTGAACAATATTTGATTCATTGAAGTAAATCTTACCTGCATTAGGATGTATGCAGTGCTTTCATTCCCACAGCTCGCTGCCAGCATAAGGGGTGTCAGGCCTTTGCCAGTTGTGGCATTGACGTTCACTTCATCCCCCAGCAAGAGATTAGCAATGTTGTCATGCCCAATATGAGGCATACATCAGAGGAGTCCAGCCACCAATGTTCTTTCTGTCCAGGTTCACATCCACTCTAAAAAGACATAGTATCACATTACTATCAATGAATGTCGTGAGAAGCATCTCTCACACACACCAAATTCAATATTGATGAGGTACTCACTTTTTAATACACTCTGATACTACATCATACTGGCCAATGGAGCAGGCAGTGTGGAGGTCGAGTGGTACATCCAATTCCTCAGGTCGTACTAAAGTGCTAGCCACAGGGAGAGGTTGACACCAAACTGCTCCGATTCACTCGCCTCATCGCTCAACTCTGACATTCTCACCCCAGACCAGATCTGCACACGTGGCCAACTGAGAAAGAAAGCAGTGGAGAAATAGTTTCTAGCTAGCAAACTTTAGCCTGGTCCCATACTGTATGTGGTGTAGCCAACAAATTCTGTAGCTAGCTTACAAAACAGGCCAAGCTAATTTGTTGCACCCTTTTTGGGGGATGGGACTAACAGCTACTAACTAGCTAGCTATTTGCCAGAAGACGCTTGTTTAAAGTGAGCTGCACTGGGGTCGGAACACAATCATGGTTACATTAAGACAATGTGGAGCCAGCGTGAGATATTGGTCAGAAAACATACCTCAATGCAGGGATGGGATATACAGTGGGGAAAAAAAGTATTTAGTCAGCCACCAATTGTGCAAGTTCTCCCACTTAAAAAGATGAGAGAGGCCTGTAATTTTCATCATAGGTACACGTCAACTATGACAGACAAATTGAGGAAAAAAATTCCAGAAAATCACATAGTAGGATTTTTAATGAATTTATTTGCAAATTATGGTGGAAAATAAGTGTTTGGTCACCTACAAACAAGCAAGATTTCTGGCTCTCACAGACCTGTAACTTCTTCTTTAAGAGGCTCCTCTGTCCTCCACTCGTTACCTGTATTAATGGCACCTGTTTGAACTTGTTATCAGTATAAAAGACACCTGCCCACAAGCTCAAACAGTCACACTCCAAACTCCACTATGGCCAAGACCAAAGAGCTGTCAAAGGACACCAGAAACAATATTGTAGACCTGCACCAGGCTGGGAAGACTGAATCTGCAATAGGTAAGCAGCTTGGTTTGAAGAAATCAACTGTGGGAGCAATTATTAGGAAATGGAAGGCATACAAGACCACTGATAATCTCCCTCGATCTGGGGCTCCACGCAAGATCTCACCCCTTTGGGTCAAAATGATCACAAGACCGGTGAGCAAAAATCTCAGAACCACATGGGGGGACCTAGTGAATGACCTGCAGAGAGCTGGGACCAAAGTAACAAAGCCTACCATCAGCAACACACTACGCCGCCAGGGACTTAAATCCTGCAGTGCCAGACGTGTCCCCCTGCTTAAGCCAGTACATGTCCAGGCCCGTGCTAGAGTGCATTTGGATGATCGAGAAGAGGATTGGGAGAATGTCATATGGTCAGATGAAACCAAAATATAACTTTTTGGTAAAAACTCAACTCGTCGTGTTTGGAGGACAAAGAATGCTGAGTTGCATCCAAAGAACACCATACCTACTGTGAAGCATGGGGGTGGGAACATCATGCTTTGGGGCTGTTTTTCTGCAAAGGGACCAGGACGACTGATTCGTGTAAAGGAAAGAATGAATGGGGTCATGTATCGTGAGATTTTGAGTGAAAACCTCCTTCCATCAGCAAGGGCATTGAAGATGAAACGTGGCTGGGTCTTTCAGTATGACAATGATCCCAAACACACCGCCCGGGCAACGAAGGAGTGGCTTCGTAAGAAGCATTTCAAGGTCCTGGAATGGCCTAGCCAGTCTCCAGATCTCAACCCCATAGAAAATCTTTGGAGGGAGTTGAAAGTCCGTGTTGGCCAGCGACAGCCCCAAAACATCACTGCTCTAGAGGAGATCTGCATGGAGGAATGGGCCAAAATACCAGCAACAGTGTGTGAAAACCTTGTGAAGACTTACAGAAAACGTTTGACCTGTGTCATTGCCAACAAAGGGTATATAACAAAGTATTGAGAAACTTTTGTTATTGACCAAATACTTATTTTCCACCATAATTTGCAAATAAATTCATTTAAAAATCATACAATGTGATTTTCTGTATTTTTTTTCCTCATTTTGTCTGTCATAGTTGACGTGTACATATGATGAAAATTACAGGCCTCTCTCATCTTTTTAAGTGGGAGAACTTGCACAATTGGTGGCTGACTAAATACTTTTTTTCCCCACTGTACCACTGTACTCCGAAGTTTTACCTTAATCCACACTGCTCCATCGAGAAGATTGAAATACTGCTAGTTTTCCCTGAAAACTGCAATTTTCTTCCTCATGCTAGCTAGCAGTAGCCACCACAGCCATTTTGGAATGGCATGTGGCATTGAACAACCAAGGAACTCATCCAGGGCGAGGGATCCTAAGAGGCTCCCTGTGAGTAGGCAGAGGCCATAGAGAGTGATAAAAAAAGTTTGTGTTTCAGTAAGGTTGGCTTCTTAGCGTTCATAGCCATGGTTATCAACTGTAACACAGAAACGGAACGGAAATCACAGTAAATAGATATAGTGGTGGCAGCTGCAGAGAAGTACTTACAGTGGGGAGAACAAGTATTTGATACACTGCCGATTTTGCAGGTTTTCCTACTTACAAAGCATGTAGAGGTCTGTAATTTTTATCATAGGTACACTTCAACTGTGAGAGACGGAATCTAAAACAAAAATCCAGAAAATCACATTGTATGATTTTTAAGTAATGAATTTGCATTTTATTGCATGACATAAGTATTTGATCACCTACCAACCAGTAAGAATTCCGGCTCTCAAAGACCTGTTAGTTTTTCTTTAAGAAGCCCTCCTGTTCTCCACACATTACCTGTATTAACTGCACCTGTTTGAACTTGTTACCTGTATAAAAGACACCTGTCCACACACTCAATCAAACAGACTCCAACCTCTACACAATGGCCAAGACCAGAGAGCTGTGTAAGGACATCAGGGATAAAATTGTAGACCTGCACAAGGCTGGGAAGGGCTACAGGACAATAGGCAAGCAGCTTGGTGAGAAGGCAACAACTGTTGGCGCAATTATTAGAAAATGGAAGAAGTTCAAGATGGCGCAAGATCTCACCTCGTGGGGCATCAATGATCAAGAGGAAGGTGAGGGATCAGCCCAGAACTACACGGCAGGACCTGGTCAATGACCTGAAGAGAGCTGGGACCACAGTCTCAAAGAAAACCATTGGTACAGAAACGGGCCTGGACACTACGCCGTCAGCGTAGATCCTGCAGCGCATGCAAGGTCCCCCTGCTCAAGCCAGCGCATGTCCAGGCCCGTCTGAAGTTTGCCAATTACCATCTGGATGATCCAGAGGAGGAATGGGAGAAGGTCATGTGGTCTGATGAGACAAAAATAAAGCTTTTTGGTCTAAACTCCACTCGCCGTGTTTGGAGGAAGAAGAAGGATGAGTACAACCCCAAGAACACCATCCCAACCGTGAAGCATGGAGGTGGAAACATCATTCTTTGGGGATGCTTTTCTGCAAAGGGGACAGGACGACTGCACCTTATTGAGGGGAGGATGGATGGGGCCATGTATCGCGAGATCTTGTCCAACAACCTCCTTCCCTCAGTAAGAGCATTGAAGATGGGTCGTGGCTGGGTCTTCCAGCATGACAACGACCCGAAACACACAGCCAGGGCAACTAAGGAGTGGCTCCGTAAGAAGCATCTCAAGTTCCTGGGTGGCCTAGCCAGTCTCCAGACCTGAACCCAATAGAAAATATTTGGAGGGAGCTGAAAGTCCCGGAACCTGAAGGATCTGGAGAAGGTCAGTATGGAGGAGTGGGCCAAAATCCCTGCTGCAGTGTGTGCAAACCTGGTCAAGACCTACAGGAAATGTTTCTGTACCAAATATTAAGTTCTGTTTTTCTGATGTATCAAATACTTATGTCATACAATAAAATACAAATTAAATACTTAAAAATCATACAATGTGATTTTCTGGATTTTGTTTTAGATTCAGTCTCTCACAGTTGAAGTGTACCTATGATAAAAATTATAGACCTCTACATGCTTTGTAAGTAGGAAAACCTGCAAAATCGGCAGTGTATCAAATACTTGTTCTCCCCACTGTAGGTGCACAAGATTTTACTGCAGAGGAGTTACACAGTGTGTTGAAAGATAGTGTCCCATCCTCTCAGGCTGCCAGCCTGGTGTAGGATCAGATGGGGCCAAGTAGTGGAATAGTGGTGAGGTTTTAATGGGTGTCCTGTTAGTTGGCAATTTTTCTTCCCTTTCCTTTTCCCCTTCCCTTTTGTGTCATAAAGTGTAATGAATTCACACTCCAGAACAGTAGGCGGAAACAAGTGGCAGTAGCGGGACGTTTTGTTAAGAGCCCTGACGCTCAATCTGTTAACACATGTCGCTTGCGGTACGGTTTTGGAAGCATAAGGACCTTATCTTTAATATCTGCGAAAATGAAAAAGGAAAAAAAAGGTTAAATTGATGCACACCTTGATAGGGTTAGTGTTCCCACATGGCCATATCTCCATGTTACAGCGTAGGAGTGACATTTTTGAAGAAGGTGGACCACTGCCTTTTGGCTGATCCATTTGTGGTTTCAGGGTGGGTGAAAACGGAGTTGGGTGCTGTGGAATCGGTGAAGGTAAACCGAAGTGGTCTTGTGATAATTGTTTGTGTTTCTGCTGGTCAGAAGGAGCAGACGCTTCACGCCAAACGAATTGGGACAAGAGATGTGACTTGTTTTGCTCTCAAGAAAAGGGCGCCAATGAAAGGAGTGATTACTGGGGTAGCGGTAAATGTGAAAGTGGACCAACTGAAGGGAAAGATTCCTGGTGTTTGTGATGCTCGTCGTTTGGTTTGACGCAGACAGGGTGGCGTGAGTGGTGAAACAGAAGAGTCATTGTCTGTTCTTTAGAGTCCCATGGATTCCGGATGGCACCGACCAGATCAAAGACAGTACAGTATGAAGATAAAAAGCTAAAAACTGCTTCTCCAATAGAAATCCACCATCACACTTGTAGGCGATGTCATGGCAACGTTGGCTAGCTAAGCTCATGCTTAGAAACGATAAGGGTGCAACTGCAGTCTGCAATTCGGGTCGTTCCTGCATGTGGGCATTCCTCCTTATACTTCTATTGGTCCATTTTTAAGCTATGACACCAGGACAAACCCACAGAGCCCTGGAAGTCGTCTATCTGCTACAGTATCATACAACCAGATGTGCGTTTGGAATGAGAAGCTACACTGGGGCTGGGGGTCAGCACTTCACATGATTTCTTACCCAGATT